TTGAGTGTCTTTCCAGTTGTTCTATCTTTCATTGAAAGTGGTGTATTAAAGTCTCTCATTATGACTGTGGAGTCATCTGTTTGCCTTTACAACTCTTTTACAGTCTGGTTTATGTATTTTGGTGCTGTTTCATTGGGTCCATAAATATTTATTATGGTTATATCTTCTTGTTCAGTGGATCCTTTAGTCATATAATGTCCTTCTTTGTCTCGTATGGTGTCTTTTGTCTTAAAGTCAATTTGATCAGAAATTAATATTGCCATTCCTGTTATTTTATGGTTGCCATTTGCTTGATATATCTTTTTCCAGGCTTTGATTTTTAATCTTTTTTTTTTGTCTTTTTCTCTAAGATGTGTCTCTTATAGACAGCATATTGATGGGTTTTGTTTTCTTATCCAATCTGCTACTCTTGGTCTCTTGAGTGGTGCATTTAATCCATTAACATTCAGCGTTATCAACATGTATAAATTGGTTGCTGTCATTTTTTCATGGTGCCCCTGATTTCTTTGTTCCATATAATTTTCTTTGTTGAGCTCATTATGTTTATTAATTGTGTTATCATTTCAATTTGTTGCTTTTGTTTTAGTATTTACTGAATATTTGTGCTTGTCCTGTGTTTATTTGTGATGTGAAGGTTTATCATTTTTTTTGAGGTTACCCTGTTATTCATAATTTTCTCCCCAAGGTTAGAATAGTCCATTCTATGTTGCAACTCTCTTGACTTCCTTACCATTTAGAAGTTCTGTAACTACACAGTATTTTCCCTCTTTTTGGTTTGTTGTTGTCCTCACTTGCCAATTGATATCTCTGGTTCCCTGTTTACAATGTTGTAAGCTTATTTTACTTTGAATATGTCCATAGCTGTGGTTTCTGGTTATGTCATCTTGTGTATTAATGGTCATTTGTTTGCTATTTTTGGTTCTCTGTTCAAAGGATTCCCTTTAGTATCTCTTATAAGGTTAGTCTGGTTTTAACAAATTCCCTTTGTTTCTGCTTATCTGGAAATCTCCTAACTTCACCATCATATTTGAGGGACAGTTTTTCTAGGTATATAATTCTTGGTTGAAAATTTTTCTGTTTCAAGATTTTATGTATACCATCTCATTGCCTTCTCGCTTGCATGGTTTCTGCTGAGAAATCAGAGCTTTTTCTTACTGGTTGTCCTTTTTAAAGTAACTTTTTGTTTTTCCTTGCTGCTTTCAAAATTCTTTCTTTTCTTTGGTGTTGGTGAGTTTGATGATGATATGTCTTGCTGATTTTCTTTTGGGGTCTATCCTGTTTGTAGTTTGTAGGACTTTCTGAAAGCATATATCCTCATCTTTCATCATATCAGGGAAGTTGTTTTCCAACAAATCTTGGACAATTTTCTCAGTGGTATTATTTTTTTCTACCTGTTCTGGAATTCCAATGACATGTAGGTTATTCTTTTTGATGCTATCCCACATGAACCTTAGGCTTTCTTCATTTTGTTTTGATCTTTTTTCTGATTGATTCCTTTTTAAAGAAGTATTCAGGTATTTGCCTTCAGTCTTGTTAATTCTGTCTTCCATTGCATCAATTCTACTCCTTTACCCTTTCAATGTGTTATCTATTTCTGACAATTTAGTATTAATCTTCTGGTTTTCTATCTGTATATTTAGAATCATTTCTAATTTTTCATTCATTTTGTTCTTGTATTTTCTTCCAAAATTGTTCTAGCGTTTTGTCTGTGTTTTCCTTGATCTGCCTCTCAATTCTTTGAAGATACCGAAATATAATTCTTTTGAATTCCTTATCAGGAAGTTCCAGTGCTCTTTCTTCCTCAGGGATGTGTTCTGGCTCTGTATCCAGCTCCCTTGTTTCTACCATTTTATCTTGCTTCTTTATCTTGTGTGGACTGTGATGGTCTGTTGCCTCCACGACATTGTATTTGGATCTCTGTTAACTGTTTGTGAAGAGCAGCTATGGGTGAGTCATGCTCTTCCTGGTGGTGGCTTATCATTGGCCCATTGGTGAAGGAAGTGGTGGTTCTCACTAAGTAAGCAGGAGGTGTGGGTGTAGTTGTATTGTATGGGGACTGTTGCCGTCTCTCACTCAGTTAGACAAAATAACAATTAAATAACCATCTTAAAAGTAAAAGCAGATGGACAAAATACGCACCATGGAATCACACACAAACGATAATCAAAAAAAGAAATAAAGGGGGAAAACAACACCCCACAATATCTTGGGTGAGGGCAATAAGAGAAAAAAAACATAGAGAAGGAAAATAATGAAGAAAAAAATGGGAAAAATGGAAAAAGAAAAAAAAAAAGGAGCGGTATTAACCACAAGAAAGAAAAAAAATTGCAGCCAGGGTCAGGAAAAAGGAAAAAAGCTGACAACTAGAACCTAGGAAGGGAGGAATAAAGAATAATAATAAAAAGGACAAAAGTAATAATAATAATAATAATAATGGTAGTTTAAAACCTGACAAAAGGAAACTAAAAAAAAGCAAAAAGCAAAAAAAAAAAAAAATTGGGGCAGTGCAGGACAGGGCACCTGGGTTCTGACTGAGGACACAGCCTGGGATGGAATTCCTGCCATTTTAGAAGGTGGATGGGAGTGAGGGGTGGCTGCACTTCCGTTCACCAAGAGGTTGTGGGGTATAAGAGTAACAAGAGGAACGTCACACCTTTCCAGTAGTAGGCATCCAGAATGTCCTTGTGGTTCCTGGCAAGTGGAGGCTGTTCTTAATTAAGTCCCTGGAATCTCGGAGAACACTGTCGCTTTAAATATCCAAAATGGTCAAACCGCTTGTAAACATTGAAAATGGCTGTGTCCTCTGGACAGGCAAAAGTCCACAGCTCAGCCCACCTTCCTCTTCACTGCTTCCCCATTTATTCACCAGCAAGCAGAGCAGTCCTCGTGCAGTCCCTGGCTAGCACCACTCTGCAATATCCAAGCTGTCTGTGCCATCAGGATCACTGCCAGACCGTACCTCTGTATGTCTCTTTTTTTGGTGTTTTCATGCAAGTTCTTCTGCTAGTTGGAGTTTAGTCCACTTCTATATCTTTCCCTTCAAAGCTCAATGGTCCAGGATTCTCTTCTGTATCTGTTAATTGGTTCCCCTTTTCTTTGTTGAAGAGGGTCTGTGCAATCCTTCTGCTTATTCCGCCGTCTTACCAGAAGCTATTCCTGCCCTGATTTTTTAAAAATCATTTCATTATTTGCTGTGACCTTCAGAAATGGTTTCTTCTCATTCCTGGCAAGCCTTTCTGCGTATACAGATTTGGCTGATGGATACATTTTCACTGGACCTGTCAGTGCCATGGCCTGGGTACATGGAGACTCCACCCTTTCTGCCTACAGTCTGGTGGGTAGAAGGGGCACCTGCGGCTGGGTGATGGTCAGGGAGGGCGTCCTTACATGCAAGCTTTTACATGCAAGCTGAATTTGATAGTGTAGGATTTAGGTAAGGAAGGCTTTAGGGACTCATTGTGCCTACCTCAAGGCCCACCTCCCATTCTTTCCTCTTTCCTACCACCATTTCCACCATCTCCAAACCCAATGGCTTACAAAGCCTTAAGCATAAGCATCTGTATTTTTCTATCATGGGTCTAGGCTGGTGGCGATGGCTCCAGGCTGCAGGCTAGTTCTAGGTGTGCTCCATTTGTTTCTTCATTTTCTTTGGACTAGCAACTACCAGAGATTTCGCAGTCTTTGCCTTGTTGTGTTTCTAACAACCTGTTGACCAAAACAAGTCAAGAGGTTAGGCCCAAGTCAGTGTAGGTTAAGGGAAGAAATATCTTGTTGCTTTTTGTAAACCACCACAGTGGGAAAGAAGGCATGAACCTAAGAAGTTGTTAAAAAATAAAATCAGCCAGAGTCCTATGAGCCTGTTTCCTGTCAAGGGTTTCTGCCTTGTATCTCAGTAGTAGTTTGTTGTTGTTGTTGTTGTTTTGCCGTCGAGTCAGCCCCGACTCATAGCGACCCCTCCTTGGGTTTCCGAGGCAGTATCACTACGGAAGTAGGATTGCCCAACTTTCCTTCCGAGGAGTGGCTGGTGGGTTTGAACCGCCAGCCTTCTGGTTAGCAGTCAAGTGCCTTAGCCACTATGCTACTAGAGCTCCCAGTAGTAGTTTACTTCATTATTTTCTTTATTCTCACTGTGTGTTTCTAATTGACCGTTTTATTAAATATGAAGTTTGCCTTGAATTCTTCTCCTATCCCTTTTCCCTATTTGCAGCTTAGAAACTTTCAGCCTTCAGTGCCATTATCCAAGGAATTTGAACAAAATAGTAAGTGACACTCCTTTCCACTTACACACAAATGTATATGTTGGGCTGGGCTGGCTTTTAGCTCTGGGGTGGGGATGAGGGTCATTCTCTAACTGAGAGAAGCTGCATCCCACTGCATCTTCTGAATGGGCTAAGGAATCTTTCCCCCTTCATTTGGTGCTTTCCAGTTGTGTGCTAAAAGCAGGTATTATGAGACACTGTTGTGATCCTTCCAACTAAAAAGTAGTAGAATTGGTATTGAAAAGGATTATACATGGAAGGAAATGGAGGGATAATCCCTCTGGTTTTGTGAGGTGGAAACCATTGCTAGTCTCATTTTCAGATGAGAAAATTATACATGAGTGTTTAAAGAACTTGACCAAGGTACTGTAGCTTCTGGACTTGACCATTTTGCTTTCAGCCTTTGCTGTTGCCTTTCAACTAGATATGGGGACCTAATGTAAGCATGAAGTTTAGCTGGTCAGAGGGGTGGGAGAGGGTGGGTTTTGGTGTGGACTACAGATTATCTTAGAGATATAATGGAAAAATAATGGATAGAATTTACTGGCTTTTGGTGGTGACAGCGGCAGATTAACCTGTAAGCACAGTATGCATTGGCTTACACAAAGCAATGTATGCACAGGCTTAATTATGCTTACTAACCTGTAGTGTACAATTTTCCCTAGTTTTTACCACAGATTAGTAAGTAAGCAAAATTAAGCAAAAATTTAAGTATGTTGCTTACTGGGTAATCCATCTGTAGGTGAAGGAGAATGAGAAATTGAAGATTTCTCAGGAATGACCTCTAGCTCCGCAAAGCTTTCTCCAAGTTGCTTTCCTGTGGTTAATTTGAATGGCTTTTGTGTGTTTTGTGATTGTAGGGAGGCAACGAGCTAGAATTTGTGCCAAACACTAAAAATTATAACCTCAAAGGCAGTTTCCAGTCTCAGCTCTGCATCTGGAATTTGTCCTCCCTTTCTCTTCCTTATGGCTCCTATGAGGCTGTCCGGAGATTGCCCTGAGCTCGCTCTTAGGGAAAACAGAAATTCCAATCTTCAGTGATCCTCACTTTCTTCTTAGTTCTTTTCTTGTCTTCTTTTCCTACTTGTACTTTTTCTTCTGGTTTGCCTGCTGTTGCCCTGAAATGATGTTTTATTATTTTTTCATACTCCTGACCTGATTTCTATTTTTGCTGTATTTCCATTGGCATCTAAGGCCTCTATATGGTTCAGGTTTGGATTTGGAATACCTGGACAGGAGTTCTGACTACATCCTCCATGGGGTGTGTTACTTTGGGCAGGTCATGATAAACTACTGAACCTGTGGTTTCTTTACCTTGATCTCATCTATTTCATCTACTTAACAGGGTTGTGAGAGGGTCAAATAAAACAAATTCATGAAAGTGCCTTATGGCATTACTAATATTCCTGACCTCCCTCCCCAAGTGGTGTTGTTCACTGCCTGATTTGATGCTCTGTGTAAGCTTTGGTCATGGTGCCCTTTCTGTTACTTGTTTGTACACCTCTGTACCCTCGAGGATCCTGTGTGCCTTAGTCTCTTTGAATTTCAGCAAAGTGCTTGTTGGCATGGGTTGGGGCTTAAGAAATGTTTGAATGGGGGAAGAATATCTGTCTAAAGGAAGTTTGTGGTCAGTCTATTTTCCTGAGCTAAACCTTCCTACTGTATCTTCTGGTTCTTCAAGCTAGTCTAGAAAAAGTTATACTTTTAATATTTTCCTGTGTTCTTTTTTACAGAATGCCAAATTTCAGTGCCTTGTGGTTACCTTCCCCTCAATCTGTGTTTACTTTATATAATATTCATCTGATGAGGTGTTTTTCTTTTTAAAATACAAACCAGGAATCACCCTGGATTTTAATTCTCACTCACTGCCATTAAGTAGATCCTAACTAGGAAGACTGGGATTTTAATTAGAGACAAAATATTTCATATTTATTGCTTGTTTCATTTAACAAGTATGTTCGAACACCTTTTATGTACTAGACTGGGACTGGAGTTGCAGCAGTGAAAAAAGCAGATGAGATTCCTGCCCTCATGAAGCTTACATATTTTTAGGGGTGCCATCAACAAAGAACTAACAGATCTGTCCTGGAGGAAGTGCAGCCAGAATGCTCCTTGGAGGCAAGAATGGCCAGACTTCGTCTCACCTATTTTGGTCGTGTTGTAAGAAGGGACCATTCCCTGGAGAAGGATGTCATGCTTGGTAGGGTGGAGGGTCAATGAAAGAGGGGGAGGCCTTCAACGAGATGGATTGACACGGTGGCTGCAATGATGGGCTCAAGTATAGCAGGGATTGTTGGGCTGGCGCGGGATCGGGCAGTGTTTTGTTCTGCTGTGCATGGGGTCGCTATGAGTCGGAAATGACTCGACGGCACATAACAACACCACCACCACCACCAACAAAGAAGTAAATTTATAAATGAGATGATTTTCATTAGTCTTTAGAACTGTAAGGGGAAATCATGTGACAAGGATTCCTAGACTATGAGGAGCCTCAACGTGTGAATTAACTGAGTATGTTACAGATATTATACTCTTAGTTGCATTGTATGTCAGGTTACCTTGAGTGTATCTACTTGTCATGTTACTTTAATCTCAGTGTCATCCATGCCTCACTCACAAAAAAGGTGATATGGGATAGCTAAAGAAGAAGGAAGGAGCTCTGGTGGTGTAGTGGTTAAGGCATTCGGCTGTTAATCAAAAAGTCAGCGATTCAAACCCACAGTCACTCTGCAGGAGAAAGATGAAGCAGTCAGTCTGCTTCCATAGAGATATACAGCCTTGGAAACCCTATGGTTTCCAAGAAACTACTCTGTCCTAAAGGGTCACTATGAGTTAGAATTACTCTGGTGGTGGGTTTGACTTTTGATTTTGTAAGGAAAAAGGTAGCTGTTATCTGGACTTTTGGCTTCATGACAAACTAGAAGGAACTCTTTTTGTCCAAGTTGCTGATATTTGAATGTCTTTGAGGGACCAGGGGAGGCCCTAAGGGAAGCTGTTAATCTGCCACTGACCTTTCTGTGCCATCTTGCTGTGTCACTGCATACACATCCTCATTATTAGGATAGCATTTGCTTGCTATGGCATTCTAGTCTGAGGTCAGTTCACTGGTGGGCAGTCACTCAACTATCCATTGCAAAGCCTATGATGGAAGAGGGCAGGATGATACGATGAAATGTGATATGTGAGCTTTGAGGTGCAAGAAGTGTCGCAGCATTGGGATACATGTTGGAGAAGGAATTGACACTTCTGGATTTCTTTGAGGAGGCAATGCATGATTTGGTTCTGAAGGATAAAAAGGAACCAGCTATATGAAGATTTGGGGTGGGGACAAAGCATCCTGAGGGGCTCAGAGTGGGGAATCCTTTGCCAAGTTTGAGGAATGGAAAGAAGACACAGAGTGTAGGGCGTGAAGTAGAGAGTGGTGTAACATAGTGGTGGTATTGAGTAGAGGAAATGAGGAAGGGCTTTGGAGGCCATGGCAAAGCATTTGGGTGTTAAGTAGAGCTGGAGGCCATTGAAAGTTTTTCAGTGGAGAAAGACCTGATTTGATTTACATGATAAAACTTTCACTTGGGCTGCATTGTGGGGAATGGACTGCAGAGGGGAAGAGTGAGGCTGGGAGCTCAGGCATCAGGTGAGGATGGATAGTGATGTAAACCAGGAAGAGATTTTGAGATGCAAGAAGTGGTATAGGTTTTGGGATACATCTTAGAGATGAAATTGGCAGGATAGATGGATGCATTCGAATTGGGCAGTAGAGGTATATAAAGAAATCAGGATGACTAAGTTTTGGATTGAGCAGCTAGGTAGGTGATGGTGCCATTTATTACCATAGAAAAGCCTGAGGGAAGAGCAGAACTTGATGGGGAGAATAATAATTCCATTCATTTTTTTTTTTTAATTGTGGTTTGGGTGCAAATTTACAAAGCTGATTTGTTTCACATTCAACAGTTCAAGCACATTTTATTTTGCAACCTGATTATAATCCCCAACCATAAAAATAACTCTCCTCTGCTCTCTTCTCTGTGACTACTCCCTTCCTGTGTCCTTTTTATCTGTCTATTCCTGTCTATCCAGCTTTATCTCTATGTGAATGCCGCTCTTCTGATGTCTCATGGCTGATTGATTTAAGGGGTGCATCTCCCTGGGATAGGTGTTGTGCATGTAGGTCTTTCTCCTGTTGGGCTGAGAGCCAATCCATGGAATTGAATCCATTTCCAGGCCCAAAGGATTAAGTTGGGGCCATAGTCTCGGGAGTTCCACCAGTCTCTATCCAACCAGTAATTCTGGTCATTTTTGGGTTTTTGAATTTTGTTCCATATTTTTCCTCCCACTCTAACCAGGGTCTCCAATTTTGATCTCTTTCCTAGTGGTTGGCATTGATAGCTGAATATCATCTAGTTCTTCTGGTCTTCAGAGTCATGAAGGCTGAGGTCCTCATGGTCCATCATATCTTTGGACTAATTGTTTTCAGATGACTTTGATTTTCTTCATTCTTCTTTGCTCCAGAAGAGAGGAGACCAATAGTTGCATCTTAGATGGCTGCTCGAAAGCTTTTAAGACCCTGGTCGCTACTCACCAGAGTAGGATGTAGAACCAGCTGTTTATGTACTCTGTTGTGCCAATTGAGCATGATGGCCCCTGAGACTATGGTCCAGAACCAGCAGGCCCAGTGTTTCTCTCTCTCTTAGGGTGTTTGGTTGCCCCTGAGAAGCTGCTCCTACCCTGTCCTCTGTTACTTCTGTAATGTATGTGGATAATTTTGTAGCATAAGTACATATGTAAAAGTATCTTCAGCCAAATCTATCCTTGGTCCTGGGTATATTCCTGTTCACCCATCCTCACCTGATCTTCTCACTTATCTATGCATTTACCTGTAGCTTAGTGTTTGGTGCCAGTGGTAATGCAGTATTGTGTATGTATTTGCCTCTGTTGTCTATATCTTTTGTGCATGTTTCTGTGTCCTCCCTTTTTCCTCATTGTCACCATGCTGGCCACAGACTCTTTCCATACTGCCCTTCTCCTCACCCAAATCAACATGTGACCCCCAACTAGTCTGAAATTTTCATGCCTCTTCCCTCCTACTCCCAGTAACCAACGAAGTGAATTTCCTTCCTGAGTAAACTTTCCTGGAGTTTTTACAATAATGGACTCATACAATATTTACTGTTCTGTGACTGACTTATTTTACTCAACATAATGTCCTCCAAATTCATCCATGTTCTGAGATGATTCATGTATTCTTCATTATTCTTTAATGTTGCATAGTATTACATTGAATTATAATTCCCTTCAGACATGCTTAGTTTGTAAGACCTTTCAGACACCCATGTAGAGCAGTCCTGGTGGCTGTAGGCTGCAAGAATAGAGAGTTTTGAGGAGATGGCAGGGATTGAAGTAGAAATTGGGAATCATCAAGAGTGATGGGATTTCTCTCTTGACAGCCCTTGTAGATATATCATCTAATAGTCTGCAAGTTGTAGTCATTATCTTGTTAATATGTTATAGACTATTTCCTCTATTCAGTTCATTGAAGAAAATATTGCACTAAATATTGTGCTAGATACAGGGGACATGATGAATGAGACTGTGGGCTCTTGTAAGAGCAGAAGTTTATCTAACAGAGAAGACAGATTATTGAATGGGGGATTAAGTCAAGTATGATATGTTCTATGGTAGAGAAGAGGGTGGTGGGGAACATATAGAAGAGGCACCTACCTACTCTTGGGGTGAAGTGAGATGTGCCAGCTGATCACTGTGGGGAGAGTAGGAATCTGCTGGGTGAAGTGTGCATCAGGCAGAGGGATCATTGCTGGAGGTAGATGGATTAACAGTTTGAAGGGAAGTGAACAAAACCTTCCTCAGAACTAGTAGGTTCTGTAGAAGGCACCCCTAGATTCCTTGGCAAGATTATGTGGCTAATTATTCATGTGTGTTGATGATACTAAAGTAATTATTACTTACTTTCACATAGGTACAAGAGTTAGTTCCTAGGAAGTTTCACTGCTCTGTGCTTAGTTTTAGGAGCCTTGGTGGCACAATGGTTAAAGCAGTTAGCTGCTAAACAAAAAGGTTGATATTTCGAGCCCACCAGCTGCGCTGTGAAAGTTTACAGTCTTGGAAACTCCATGGGCAGTTCTACTTTGTCTTGTAGGGTAGCTATGAGTAGGAATTGGCTCAACAGCAGTGGATTGATTTGGTTTTGGTTTGGTGATCAGTTTTATTTTGATGCAGTAAAGGCAGTAAGAAATTGGTAGCTCACATGATTTTTTTTTTTTCTTTTTGATTGTGATTTGGGTGAAGATTTACAAAACAAATTCACTTTCCATACAGCAGTTCATATATACTTTGTCTCATGTCATTGACCACAATTTACCACAATGCAACAGCTCCCCTCCCACTTCCTCGCCATAGTTACCTCTTCCCCGTGTCCATTCCTCCATGGACTACTGCCCCCTGAGCTGTCTCCCTGTGCATAAGCAGCCCTTCTTTCTCCCATGATTATTCTCTCCAAGGAGAGTATGTATTTGAGGTAAATGTTCAACTCATATGCCTGTCTTTTGTTTGGCTGGAAACCACAGGTGTGGGTTCAATTCTAGACCTGAAGGGCATTTAGGGGCCATAGTCTCAGTGGTTCCACCAGGCTCTATCGGACCAGCAAACCTGTCCCTCCCTTTTTATTTTCCTTCAAATGATTTTGAATTTTGTTCCACATTGTTCTCCCTCTCTATCCAGGATCTCCTATATAGATCCCCTTCCAAGTGGATGACAGGGGTAGCCGGGCACCATCTAGTTCTTCTGGTCTCATAGTTGTATAAGCTGCAGATCAGATGATGTACCAGTCGCTAGGACTAATTGTTTCCATGAATTTTGGTTTTCTTCATTCTTCTTTGCTCTGGACGAGGAGAGACCCATTGTTGCA